TTAGTGGGGGCTGTGGTAAGATACTGTAGAATACATCCTTAATTTACAAGTTGCAAAGATCTTTTATTTTGAAGATCTGCTCTGACATTATTATTCAGTTAGGTGTGTTACACATTCTTAAGTTCTGATTGTGTATTTAAAAACTTTTTAAAAAAAATTTGTAATGAACTTTGGTTTTCTTTAGATTACAAATATGGGGAAAATTAAATAAGAGTTGTAACAAATTGAGTTTTGGAACAGACATTATATATCGTTCTAGCAGAAAAGTCCTGACCTCCTGTTTTGGTTTTAGTAGGTGAATTTAGAGTCTTATCTCTTCTGTTACAGCAGTTTCTGATGGTGGATGGGAAAAGGATTAAAGTATGCTCTGGAATTCCTTGGTACCAGGAAAAGATTTTTGTATAGTGACATAGGGTTAATACATTTCTCTGTATCACATGCTAGGAATGCTCAAATACTGCCTGTGGCCAAGGAGGACTGGAATCTTTCTTCATGGGCAACTGATTGCTAAGAAACGTTTCCATAGAGATGTGAGACCACATGAGAATTTTGCTATGCTAGTATTAAGATTTAAAATTAGAAGTAGGTTCAGTAAGGATACAGCTAACAAAGAAAAGGTTTTTTTGTGCAATATCTATTGAATATTGGATCCTTATTATACCTTTTTTGTCTTTCTCCTTTTAAAATATTCTATGCTAAGTTTATAACTTAAATAAAACCACGCTGGAGCCCACTGTGAATATAATTTCTAAAGAACTTTTGTAGCTTGAGGGTACTATACCAAATTTTCTACAACTTAGGTAAGCCAAACTTAGTGGTACAACTAAGGGTATGTCTACACTGAAATTAAACACCCACGGCCAGCCCATATCAGCTGATTTGGGTGGGGGGGGGGGGGCTCAGTCTACAAGGCTGTTTAATTACAGTTCAGACTTGGGCTGGCGTCAGGGCTCTGGGACTCTCTCCCCTCGTGTAGTCCCAAGGCTCAGGCTGGAGCTCAAGACCAAACATCTACACTGCAATTAAACAGCCTTGTATCTTGAGCCCTATGAGCCTGAGTCAGCTGACACGGGCTAGCCAGAAGTGTTTAATTGCAGTCTGAATGTACTCAAGAGCAGAATTTAGCCCACTGTCAGTAGTGTATTTACTCCTGGGGGAATTCTGCGCCACTGTGCATATGCAGAATTTATGTCCCCCACAGATTTCTTTGCTTCCCTACAGAAAAAGGACTTTCTGATGTGGAAGCAGAGGGAAGCCACAAGAGCAGTCATGCAACCCTCCTTACCAGTATGTTTTGGGTGCCCAAGGCAGCCGGCAGAGATGTAAATCACTGTGGAGCTGGTGGTGGAACTGGGAAAGACCCAGCTGGTGACTACCACCCTGCGCCGGGCTCAGCTGCTAGTCCTGGCTGGGCTGGGGAAGACGGGACTTCCTCTTTCCCTGCATGGCATCTGGGGTTATGTCAGACCCACCCTCAGATTTCTCCTCCAGCTATAGGAAGCTCTGCAAACTCTTCTCCCCCTTACCCCACAATTGCTGCACTGACCGAGCCTCACCCCCGCACACCCATAATCCCCCTGACGAGCCCCATTCCTGCTGCACCTGGACCACCCCAACGAGCCACCTGCACCTGGATCCCCATTGTACTGAGCACCAACCAGCTGCACCTGGATCCCCACCCCACTGAACCCCACTCCCCCAGCATCTGGACCCCACCACTGAGCCTCCCCCACACCCAGACCTTCCCACCCAAGCACCCCACCCCAGTTGAGCCTCAACCACCTTCACCTGGACCTCTGAAGAGTCCTGTTACCGTTGCACGCAGAACCCCACAACAAGCCTCTGTGCAGCCAATGTCGCCTGATAAGAAGTCAATCCAGGTCACTGGCGGTGGTCAGCATTCACATAATCTGATCCAAATCAGACAAGTCAGTCCTGTCTACAGTGTAGAAAACAGAGTTTATTGGTGTGGTCCTAGACTCGACAGATGCCAGGGCTTTACGGCTTTAGATAAGATTTCGTACGATGCAAAGCCTCATTCTGGACTTAAAGGCTTATCCTCTCACTGTGGTGAGAGGCTGTTTAAGGCTGATGGGGCACATGGTAGTGTGCCCTTATGTGGTCCAGTACACCAAACTGCGCCTCGGACTCCTTCAGGACTGGGTGGCAGAGGTATATTCTCCAAGAAAGAACCACATAAACACAGTGCACATGTCAAGTCACATCTTAACCTCCCGAGATTGGTGGACACATCTGCCCAGTGTATGCAAGGGAGTTGCTTTTGCCCCACCTCGTCACTCTTACTTTAGTGATGGATACCTCAGACGTGGGGTTGGGGGCTCATCTGGGACACCTGCAGACACAGGGTCTCTGGTCACCCCAAAATCTCAGTCTACACATAAACATCAGGGAGCTGTGGGCCATCTGTTTAGATTGCATGGAGTTCCTTTCTCACATCAGGCAAATGGGTGTATTGGTGCTGATCGACAATATGATTGCTGTGTTTTATGTAAAAGAGCAGGGAGAAGCCTGGTCCTCACTGCTCTGTTGGGAAGCAATACTGTCTGGGGGCCCATGGCCCGGGGGCTCAAAATACACTGGCAGATCACCTGTGGAGGTTGTTTTTCAATCACCATAAGTGGTCCTGTCACTCAGACATAGGAACGTCCATTTTCCAGCTCTGGGCAGCTGCCCAAGTGGAGTTGTTTGCAACAAGGGATAACACAGCAGCCTAGGTTCGCTGACATGCGTTTTTACTGCTGTGATCAGAAAGGCTGCTATGTTTATTTCCCCCCTCCCTTCTGCCCAGAGTTCTGTGCAAGAACAAGGCCAGTCTTATACTGATTGCCCCAGCTTGGCCCCATCAACACTGGTTTTCACACTGACCTCTCGATCAGCCCCCAATGTTACTCCTGCTCCAGACACTGACCTAGCTTCATAGAATCCATGGGAGCATTCGTTGAAATGCTTCCAGTTCCACGTGCAGGGCCAGAAAGACGGGCAGAACCCCGGGGGAGAAAGGAAGGGATAGGAAGGACAGTGAAGCACGCATGTGTCTTCCCTAGCTTACCTGGGCAGTAACAGGTCAGGATATGACCCCTAGTTGAAGAGATTTGGTAGAGGAGTGGCCAGTCTGTGGTCTGTTTCAATGGCCATTAATTGCCAATTAAATCAGAGGCTTTCCATTCACTTCGGTGGACTTCGGATCAGTCTTCTAAGCATGGGCTGTTGACTTTGGGCTATGGTTTGATGATCAATGTCCTAGCATGTAAGCTGCCATCAGCAGCAGGCACCTGTGGCAGTACAGTTACTACTTGGAGCAACAATAAAGTACAGTGCAGTGTGGTGTTCCCTGGGCCTCTGAGCCACCTTGAACTGCAGGCAACATGCCTCCTTCACTTTCCACCATGCCTCAGATTCATAAGTGTAGGATTTTGGCCTCATGGTCTGGAACCAGTTCAAGTTGGTATAGCTTGTAATACTGATAAACTCATGAGCACTGCTAAAACTTCTAGAAGAAATTATTACAAAGTGGGGATTTAGTTTGAGTTATAATTCAGATTAATATTAGCTAAAAACAATTAAACATTTAACAAATATTTTCTTTTTTATAGTAGTTGTAGAGAGAGTTGTTTGCACATAATGGGTGTGTGTCCATCTATCCATCCCCTTGACTGGAATTTGTTACAAAATAGAATCTCCTTATACTATGTCATACCAGAAATAAAGAAGTGAACTCTTTGAATTCTTGCTTTTTTTCAGTACGAAAGGTCTGATTTCTCCATTTTGTAACAGGGTATCTTAATTTGTTTCCTACCAGCAAAATTTTCTTCTTGGTGTTCAGCCTTCCACTCTGCCATTTTCCCTATTACATAGGCAGAGCTCTGTGATTTCTACAACCATTGCCAAAATGGATCTATACAGAGGATTTAAGGAGAGTATGTTCTTATATTAAGTAGCTGGCTTCTCGAAAAGCCTGAGCACATTCTATGCTCATGCCATTTTACTGTAGCTATTTTTCAAATAGATATCACTACATTACTCCTGCTAAATAGGTATTACCCAATTTAAAGGAATGGAGCTCACTAGAAGTATTTACGGTACAATTCTAGTGTGGTGTATGTCTGTGCTGGAATAATATGCCTCACTACTTAGAGGAAAATGAGATTGCTTGTAAAAACCTAGCAATTCCCGTGTCTCCTTAAAATAACTTAAAAAAATAACGGGATTTTATTAAAAAATAGAAAACTCTAATGTGATTTAACAAATCTTTAAGATTTATCATTTACTAAAGTGCTAATCACTAAAATAAAAGGAGAAACATTTTAAAACGATCAGCCATTTTATGTAATAGAGAGTTCGAGAAACATTCTTTCTGTGATTAGCTGTGTTTATTTGCTTGTCTGGAATTTCAGAACCATTCTACTTACTACTGTTTGATAAACAAATGTATACTTTTTTCCTATGCTATCTTCATCTTGCATAATTTTGTTGGTAAATGCTGTCTGTATATGTAGGGTTGGATTTTCAAAAACTGTGTTGCTATTGAAGTCCATGGGGATTTTGCCATTGACTTTAATGGGGGTAGAGTTAGACTAGAAATGGGATTTTCAAGATACTAATCTTTGTCTCTTTTCACTGTGGGCATGTTTGGGAATTTTGCTATTGACCCGTGTATGAGCAAGACTGGGACAGGTTAGTACTCAGATTTGAAAATTTTTTAGCATCTTTCTAGCAAAAGCTTACATAAGCGTGATTCTTTGTGGTTTTGATTAAAACTGTTTTTCAAATCCCAGGTAGCAAGGGCCATAGTCCTAGAACAAGCAAACATTTCAAAATAACATAAATCCTATTTTCAAAAGTGATTTAGGAATCCAAATCACTTTTGAAAATGGGACTCAGGCTCTTAAGTCACTTGAGGCACTTTTTAAAATTTTACCCTTTGATTTATTTCATATAATAGTGGAAGTACTAATTTGTAACTTTTTCCCCCTCCCAAGGTATCCAGAGAATGGTATAGTAGAAATGCGTGCCAATAATCTTCGACCACGAGCAAGAACCATTTTGAAGTGGAGTGAACTCAATGTGGGTGATATGGTGATGGTTAACTACAATGTAGAGACTCCAGAAGAGAGAGGATTCTGGTTTGATGCAGAAATTACCTCTCTGAGGGAAATCTCAAGGACTAACAAAGAAGTTCATGCCAAAATTCTTCTGGGGTAAGATTTTATTGACCAGTTTTGAAAGCATGCAGTATGCAGGAAAAAAAAAAGAGCTTTCAGTTTTGGCCATTGCATTTCATTAGATTAAAAATGTAACATTCCATTTTACCTCTGTATCTGTCTGGATCCTGGAATTACTTGCTTTTTTTTTTTTTTTTTAAGCAGATGGAGACTTTTTAGGATCAATGCATTTGGAATGTGGGTGTCTTCTCTTCTGTCCCCTCTCAACCCCCCCCCTTTTTTTAAACTATTGGTTGATTAAATTGCCAGGGCTAATCTTATTGTGTGATCTGTTACCTGTGATCCCATTGGATCAGACTAGTAACATGTTTTCCTTCAATACCATCAAGGCTGAACCATCCATTTTCAATGGATTTTTTTGTTTGTTTTTTGTTCAGGCCCTTTGGGAATCTCCAGATCCTAATGGGTGACAGTTATCTTTGGCAATCTGGACAGACTTCTCAGTCTGCTAGTAGAATGTTCAGGGCCAGATGGTTCGTAGGTGAATAGTGGAATGGGAGTAAATAAATTCTTTGAGCTTTCTATATGGACAAATTCAGCTATTTCACTGACTCTTTTACAAGATGCTCAAGGACAGCCCTTCAGAGGCTGAATTTACTTCAACAAAAGTCTGTAGTACAGAATTTTGAGGTAAGCAATGAGATTGCCTTCTTCCCCCTTTGTCGTTTTCTTTTAGTGCTATAATTGAGGATGTCTGAGTTGTATGTTGACTTCATGGTGAATTTTGGGCAGACAAGCATCCCTTCCTTCACCTTAGAGGGTTTTTGCTAACAAGTCTGCTTCAGCGTTTAGCAATGAAGGCTGTAATGCCTTTGGAATACATTTAGAACGTTTTTCTCAACACAGGACTCTTCATGTGAATCAAAGTTACATATTTTAAGCTGGATATAGAAATTTCTCTGAAGGATTATTGAAACATAGTATGCCTTTTTAATGTAAATATCCTTGATCTTCAATTTGAAGTATTATCTATCGGTTTCAAAATCTTCCTCTTTTGGATATGCTAACTAAGACAATCAAATAACTTTCTTTTTGTCCATTTTATTAAGAGATAGATTAGAAATGTGTGAACCATAATAGAAGGTTATTACCTTCAGTATCTTCTGCTGAACTAACTTAATGGGCTGAAATCTACGATTTGTGGACATGGCCAAAATCTAGTTTGATGCTAACTATCTTCTCTATATAGTTCTCAATTATAGTTCTTCAGGTGATTGTGCATATAGATTCTGCTTTTGGTGCACATGGATTACAGGTGTGTGTGCGATCAGATTATTTTTGGGTAGCAACCCTTGGCATTATCCACTTCTCTTGGACACTGTGCCTTTCACCTTAGATTTTAGGACTAGTTGATTAGTTAATTAGTTTTAGTTGATAAACTAAATTTCCTTTTGCCTGTTGGCATATATATTTTAAAAAAATAGTTGTTTAGGTCAGTTAAGTATCCTTTAGCGTAGACAACCCTCTGTATAAGGGTGCTAAGATGATGATAGAGGCGGAGTTACCAATCTACAAGACCTGTTACTTGTGTGACTCCACTATGCCTATAAATGATGGGGATCCTTAGTGATTCATTTGCCTTGTGGAAGAGCACATTATGTATTACTCATTTTCCAAGCGTACCCAGAAGGCGAGAGAGGTGAGACTGAAACTCTTCCTGCCGGAGAAGTTGTTGATGCAGGCCTCGTCAGATCACATCCCTCTGGCATGTTTTGCCATGCTGTGTAGACAAGCTCTTAATTTGGCAGTCGTCTTTGAAGCAAGGCTGAGCTTTCTGAGTCAGGACTTCTTTCTCCCCACATTATTTCCAACAGTAGGATGACAGAGTAGAGAGCAAGTACAAGGCCAAAAAATGCACTAATTGTTCTTCTATATTTTCAGCCTTGAATAGAGCAGTTCTGCTAGTTTTGCCATCCACAGGAGTAGGATGAGGCCAAAGTTTTATGAGAAAAGGCGAATCCTCGTACAGCAATCCAGAGGATTTCTTGTATCCACTCCTAGCTGTCATGCGATTAAGGTCTGTGATGAGTTGGTTGAGCAGAGCGTGGAAACTTGCTTCTTTTTTTTTTTTTTTTTTTTTTTTTAAACAGTCACCATAGGATTTTTAGACAATGCCACAGCAACACATGATCAATAGAGTAAAATAACTAGTCCTATGTCTTTATAAACCCAGCTAATATTCCCTCTTTAGCAGAGTGAACAATCACTTGCTTAATGACTTCTTCAGGTGGCATTTACAGCAGAAGTTGTTCTTCTGCAGCATGCCTTATTCAGTAGCCTGCTTCCAGCTTGGTGGTTGTGATAATTTCCAGGGGCTAAATATCTTTACAACCTTCCCCCACATGATCTCCGTATCCATTTATTCCGTAGACCCAGACCCACTCTTCAGGAATTCCATAAGACTATTAAAATGGCCATATCTCTTTAAGAAAACAAGTGGGCTACTTACTTTCAATCCCTGTTATTTACTGAAGTGTTCAGTGGGTATACTCTTTCAGACACTTCTCCAAATAAGGATTGATTCTGTACTTAATACAATACAGAATTTCATTGAATGACAGCCCTTGTATAATAAATATGCGATGTATTTGTGGGCTTTTTGTTTATTTGCTTTTGATTTGTGGAGTTTTTGTTCTTTCCAATATTTCAAGTGTTTGTTTCCATCTACAAACACCTGTTTTGGGATTTATGTTGTATCATTGCCAATTCGTATTTGTAACAGTACTCATAAAGTTAATTTAGTTCCTCTCTTACTCTTTTGTTTTGAATATTTTGAGGGAAGCACAACTTTTTCCTCACTTACATATTAAGATTCTTTAGGAAATCTTCACTTAGTTATCTTGAAAGCTAAGTGTGATGTGCTTTTCAAGAACTATCTTACATTAGACAGGTAATTGAATTAATGGCATTTCCTTTACTCATTCGTTTCTGTAATTTTTAACAGAACATTCCTGACAACAAGTGCTTGGATTTCATCTAAAAGTGCATAGTAATTGTCAATCCAAAAAAAAAGTGATAGTGGTAATAACAGTACCACTATAAATATAGTTAATCCAGAATTATTCCTAAGTATTTCATAGGTTCTTTATATAAGATGACTTCATCCATCTCTTAGGAAAAATGTGGTATTCTTGGTTAGAGTTTTAAAATTAAGGCCTTGGCTACACTTGCAGATGTACAACGCTGTGAGTTAAACCTGACTTCGTGTAGCTGAGTAGGGAAAGCGCTGCAGTCTGTCCACACTGACAGCTGCCCAGCGCACTGTCGTGGCCACATTTGCGGCAATTGCAGCGCTATTGGGAGCGGTGCATTATGGGCAGCTATCCCACAGAGCACCTCTTCCCGTTCTGGCGCCGTGGGTTGTGGGAAGGGGGCGTGGGTGCGGGGCATTCTGGGTCCTGTCCCAACGCCCCGTGATGCATCACTTCGCATCCCAGAAATCCCTTTGTTTCCATCCACCTTTGACGCCATCTTTCAACGGTTTCTGTGCAGCGCGATCTGTTGTCTGCGGGAAATGGAGCCCGAACTGCTGAGGCGTATGCTGACTTATCTTGCCAGCACATCACATTTGGCTGTCGAACTATTCCTTAAGATCCAAAGTGACAGTGAGAGTGAGGAGTCTGATGATGCTATCGAGCCGCGTAACGCGCACGACACGAAATTGCTTGTGGCATTCACGGACATGCTCAGCACCATGGAACGCCGCTTTTGGGCTCGGGAAACAAGCACCGAGTGGTGGGATCACATCGTCATGGAAGTCTGGGATGACAAGCAGTGGCTGCAGAACTTTCGGATGAGAAAAGCCACTTTCATGGGACTGTGTGAGGAGCTTGCCCCCACCCTGCGGCGCAAGGACACGAGATTGAGAGCTGCCCTGCTAGTGGAGAAGCGGGTGGCTATTGCACTCTGGAAGCTGGCAACTCCAGACAGCCACCGGTCGGTCGCAAACCAGTTTGGAGTGGGAAAGTCGACCGTTGGAATCATGTGGATGCAAGTTTGCAAGGCCATTAATCGCATCCTACTCAGAAGAACCGTGACTCTGGGTAACGTGCAGGAAATAGTGGATGGCTTTGCACAAATGGGGTTCCCTAACTGTGGAGGGAGGATAGATGGGATGCACATTCCTATTCTGGCACCACACCACCTAGAATCCGAGTACATTAATCGGAAGGGGTATTTCTCTATGGTTCTCCAGGCGCTTGTGGATCACCGTGGGTGTTTCATTGACATTAACACAGGCTGGCCCGGAAAGGTGCATGATGCATGCATCTTTCGGAACACTTGGCTGTTTAGGAAGATGCAGGCTGGGACTTCTTTCCCAGAGCGGAAGATCACGGTAGGGGAGGTTGAAATGCCCATTGTGATCCTTGGAGATCCCGCTTACCTGTTAATGCCGTGGCTCATAAAACCCTACACAGGGAGCCTTGACAGCAGCAAGGAACGGTTCAACTACAGGCTGAGCCGGTGCCGAATGACTGTGGAGTGTGCCTTTTTGGCCGTTTAAAGGCCCGCTGGCGATCTCTGTATGGGAAGCTGGACTTGGCCGAAAACAGCATCCCCGCGGTTATATCCGCGTGCTGTGCCCTCCATAATATTTGTGAAGGGAAGGGTGAAAGCTTCACTCGGGCATGAACCTCTGAGGTTCAACACCTGGAGGCTGAATTTGCACAGCCAGAGAGCAGAGCTATTACAGGGGCCCAGCGCGGGGCTGCAAGGATTAGGGATGCCTTGAGGGAGCAATTTGAGGCTGAAAACCAGGAGTGATATCTGGTGCCCTGCACGGGAGTGAAGTGCAGTAGTTCCCATCTTTAGGGATCGGTGTTTGCTAAGCAGACAAGCAGACTTGCAGTGCCTGTTTATTTCCTGGGCTAAGGAGTCTTTTACTTTATGCAATAATAAAGAATGTTTTCAAAGCCAAAAAATCCATTTATTGAAAAGAAAAAAAAATTATTTATTGAAAAGAAACAAGGGGGTGG